GAGAAAGGGTAGACATGTTCTATTCGTATTAATTTTTCATTAAATGAATTTAAAGTCGTGTAAGGTAAAATTGAAAAATTCAGAGTTGTTCTTCCAGTCGTTGATTTAATTAGTGCAAAAACGTTTGAATTCTCGAGAGCAATGATAACAAAGGGTGCATTTAACTGGTATCTCGAATTCACGTGGAAATATATTCCCTGGGAGTATTGGGATATACCTGAAAACAACGTTAAGCCATTTCAGTAAGTGTTTTGTGTTTCTTAGTTTTTCTTGATATCTACCATAGTAAAATCATTGGGAGGATTTCCAGCACGTAGTAATCCATACCCAGAAATATGGAATGGTTAGTATGCTGAATTGCATTTGCAAAATGATTTCTGTTCTCCAAATATTTAAATTATTAGTAGTTCCCCCAGACTGATTTGAAATAACAGCATTTGAATTATACTATACCTTCAACAAATTATGAAACGAGTGAATTCGATGGAATAGTTTCATGGCTAGACATGCTACGCTTTCTTCGATGGATATGATTATAACGGATAAAACATTGCGTTATAAGCGGAATATGTTTTGTACTTAAAGGAGGAATAGTTCTAGATATTTTTGGTACACTTATAGAATTTTTTTTGTTTATAGGTCAGCGACTATGTCAGGCGGTCTGCTGGCAATTGACCGTAAGTATTTTCATGCAATGGGTGAGTATGATACTGGAATGGAGACTTGGGGAGTTGAAAATATCGAAATGTCTGTTCGGGTTCGTCGAATTTGGAACATTCACAAATTTCATTCCATATATCAATGCTTACTACCCATAACTTCTTAAGTGGTCTAATTGACCGATAAATTTGACGAACTTAATGGTTGCCGTCGACGCTGAGCTATTGATATCGAAAACGTGCATCAATCTGTCTGGAATGTTATAACCGACTTTAAGATGAAAATATCATTCATTGAATGTTGTCAGTATCTAACAAAATTTATTCGGATTCAGAAATGTTTAGATATGGCTCTGCGGTGGATCCATCTTAGTGGCACCATGCAGCCACGTTGGCCATGTGTTTCGTACACATCGTCCATATAAGAGTAAACCGGGTATGGATTCAAAGCTGTATAATTCGGTACGAACCGTTAAAGTCTGGTTCGATGATTATGCTGTGAGTTGATGCTTCATTTTTATTTGTATTTTTTTTATTATTTCAGCTTTCAAGATATATCTGAGAAGGTTTTGGATCGGATTGAGGCTGGTATCGTTAACTTTTTTTTAAGACAATGATAATATGCCACAGTTGTAATGCTTTTAGCAGGAGAAATATTTCGAATGCTTTTGGTAATCCTGGTAATTCTAAGTATTGCATAGTAACACATAGTTACTGTTACTTGGTTCATACTCTTCCAAAGTTTTTATCGTTAAAAGTGCAATAGCGTACCTTAGTAAAGGTATGTATAACTAAATTCCAAAAAATGTTTTGCTTAAAATCAGTTCAAGTTCAAGTCCGGTCTATCTGAATGAAAGTTATACACTTGAAGTCATCTCAATTCTTTTTCTATTTCATCACGCCAAATAGGACTCATTATGCCTTCTCAAATGTGTTTTTTTTTTTTGCTTTCTTGATCTAAACAACACTTTGAACAGATTGAAATAATATGGAAATTAAAACATACACTTCTGAACTTTCAATATTTACCAAAGCTTTTTTTCTAGAAATACTTCTATGAGAAACGACCGGATGCGAAAGAGATAGAAGCTGGTGATCTGAGTGAACGCATCAAATTGAAGGAAAATCTGAATTGTAAGTCATTTCAGTGGTATGTACAGGAAATTGACCCGGAACTGGAGCCCAAGAAGATACTACATGAAGAATTGTGAATTTCAACTTGTATCATTATGTCAAAATTTAGGGAAGGAGTTATTACTATAAATTTATATATATTATTTGATGCTATGATTGCTGATTGAGCTAAAGTAAATGTTCGCTGTAATTCTCATTGTTGTACTGGAAGATAGAATTAGCTATTATGAATTCTTCACGGCAAACATCGTTCATCTAATCTAATGTCAAAACAGATATATATCAGCTTCCCTTAAAGAACATATCGACTGATAATTGAGCTTTTTTATAAGTTGCATATGTTTTATGTATTCAAAATGTTCAAGTTATGTCGCATGATATGTTTGTATTTCAACAAAGCGTTGATTTTCAATCATTTCTGTGTACACATGCCCAAATACATGTATGCTTGAATTTTCATGAAAATTAATTTCAAAAATATAGGACATATCCTCATTCACTTCCCCAGCGGAACACACTTCCCCGTTCGGCTTCGTACAAAAATCGAATGAAAGGGTGGGGACGTTGATGTTGCACGTCGTGATAGGTCTTGTTGGGCCGCGTCATTTAGTTTGATGTTCATGAAGTCTATAGTATTCAGGTTACGGTGTTCGATGACGTCATGTTATGTTTCATTTACAGTGAAATAAAGAAAGGGTTGGGATCAATGTTAATTCATGTTATACCGAACGAGTTGTTAGATTGGTCGGATTATGTTTTCTAATTACTCAGGAATAATAAGAAGTGACATATGCTGAAACAGAGACCAAAAATGTCAATATTTTATTACTTAGGATACACAATAAACTGTGTCCCATTCACTCATTCTTCTTTTTTCCATTTCACCAATATCACTTATTTTAACGTCTTATCAGCATTATCATATGCTATCTATATAGTTAAACTATATTTTTCCACATAGTTTATCATATGATGCAAATGTCACGTAGTGTTCAGTGTTACTATTTGGTACCGATATCATTTTACGTCAAATTATGATACGAACTTATGAATCTACTAAATTTTATTTAGCTTATGAATCTACTGAATATATATATTTAGTAGATTCATAAGCTATTTGGAAAAAAAACGAACACCAATAATTAAATTTTCAAACTTTTGACAAATTACTCGGAAGCAGGAACACCATGAACGGTATACATAGTAGGACTTTTGTTGAAACTTCATACTTATCCAGAAATTCTCCTTGACTTAATCTCAAATGCTCCTTAATATAGTGTTGTTTTACTTTCAACTGTTTTATTCTTTCCTACCGCACTTTATTTCTTATTCTCTGTTTTTGATTTTGGAATAGCAAGAAGCTTTCTCCGCAAATGGCAATTTTTTTTTCTTGTGGAGATTTATGCAACCATTGAGGTATTCAGTTTTTGGGTAGTAATTTTTTTTATTCGAATCAAGGAATTCCAAGAAGCATCAATGAATATAAATTTTTAAAGGTAACGACTGACTTCTTTACCTCTAAAGATCGAAAAATATTGCCCCATTCTTCTTACGAAAGTTTCGGTTCTTTAAATCTCAGTTAATTCGAATTCCTGACTTTAGATGAGCTGTTTTAATTAATTCCCTTTTATTTTTGATCAACTTGTTTAGATGATTTTCTTTGAATTTCTTGAATTCAGCTTTAAAATCAGGTTTCAATTTTTACTTGAATTTCAGTTTGTCTCAGAAAAGTAATTTCTTGTTTTTGTTCTCTTGTTACCATAATTGTTTTACAATGTATATGTAAGTCATTTAAGGCGAAAATCTTTGAGACTAAACTATATACAGATTAAACAAAAAGATGGTACAGGAATGATGACAAGAAAAAAACCTAGGCATTGTTGATGAATTGTTTTCTGAAATTCTCGTCTTGCCAGTGTGTCACTTTTTCACTATTCCTCGTTCTCTTTTTTCATTTTTGTTTATTACTTTCTTGGTTCGTTAAAAAATATATGACATGTTAGTAGAGGTGCAGAAATCACAAAACGAGTCATTTTTCCTCCTCTCTCCTTTTTTACTAAACGTGCATTCCTTTCCGTCTTCCCCTCTTTCCTCCCCTTTCGTCTTCCTTTGTATCTTTCCAGAGATATTTAATGACCTTCATAAGTAGTTAATTTGAGTAATTCAAACTATTTATCAGTATTGTTTCTAGAAATGAAGTTTGATCCTTCTCCAGCCAAATCTCTTTCTTGATACCAAAATGTTTGATGTATGGAGAAAGAGGATGATATGTCATCGGAGACAGATCTTTTTTTGTACTCTTCTTTTTAAATTATGGCAGCATTATTGTAGGAAAAATATGCGTTAAAAGGAGTGAAAACGAAGGGACGAAAGCAATGTCACGTGAGCCATCCATTATACATAATCCATCAACAAGCGAACCAGAAACGGTAATTGTTTCCAGTTTTGGTTTTTTCGGTTAATGGGAAGATAGAACATTGTTGTTTCATCTGAATATATCATCAAATGATGAAGTGTGCATGATGTTAGTAAGCCTTAGAAGGATTGCTTGAGACTTTTTGAGCGTAATCAGTGCTTCGTGATAGAAATGTTTTCATTTGAAGAAAGGAGGAGGAATTTTTATTTGCCTTCAAAGACAGACAATCACTAACTGACGTTATTAAGTTACTGATTGTTGTGAAGTGAGAAAACTTGTCTTAAATACTTCGAAAGGAAGCTTTATTTTAACAAGCTGACATCTACGTAATGTCTGGAAAGTGCATGTTATGATGTTCGTCATCAATTGTAAAGAATAATACTGCGGTTCGTGACATCAGCGTCGAAATATAATCATGTCCCGAAGTACTTTGTGAATGTGAATTAGCCGTGCTAGATGTATCGCGGCATATTAACGCTCTTCAAAGAAGAATGGCGTAGTTCCTGGGCATTAATAAATTACATTTCATATTTCAATGCACTATATCGTTAAATATTGTAGAAATCCTTTTTAAACACTTTTTTTTCTTTTTTTTTTTTTTTTTTTGTGAAGTAACAGAATTAACCTCCAGAAAATAGTGGTGTCTGCATAAGTAGACTATCGTCTTATATCTGGATAAGTGCATTATACTTTTTGGTCTGAATCTGGCAAATATATTTGACCCAAAATTTGAAATAATCTTATATTTTAAATTACGTCAAAAATTGAACCTGCCTCTTTTTCTCCTAAAAATTCATACGTCTTTGTTGTATTTAGTTTTCGGATGTATAGTTTTGTTTATTCATTAAAATATTTTTAGATTTGCATGTTTGTTGTTGTCGAAGCATTTTGTTGTGTTGCATTTTCAGCTGAAAGTCCTCGCAAAAGTGATCTTACAGAACCAATCGAACGATGAAATAATCAGTGATGATGAGGCACGGCGGCGTCGCGAACAGCTCAATCGACGACCGTCATACCGGTTAACTAATTCTTTCTCGGTCTTTTTATGCTGCCTTTAATTCATGTTTCAAATTGAATTTTGGGATATAATTCGAATATTTGAAAGGTTATATGTTTGAGACTATATAATGTAGGTTTTTTTTTTTTTGTTTTTCAGAATATGTGGTTTGTGGATAGTCAAGTAGTAAATTAACAAGGGGAAATTAGCATTTTGATTTTGGTGATTGCTCACTTCAAATTGTGGTAGAAAATGTGAATTGTGTTCTTAAAATAACGATCTAGAAAGCAGTCACTATTATTAGATAAATAAGATCTCTTTAGAAGAAATGGTAGTTTGTAATTGCTCCATTTCTAAATTTAAAAATAAAGCAAATTTCTAGTAATATTATTTTGAATATATCTATTTATCTATGACATTCGTCATAATGTATTATTAATAAGATGCTGCGTATGTTTATTGCTTCCATTCTGTAAAATGTTTTCTGATGCAAAGGTAACACTGAATCTAAAGGATCACTTTAGCGGTCCATAAATGCTGCACAAAAAGCATTTGGCACAAATAGAATATGACGTAACTGTATTTGATGACTGTGCATTTCCATAGCTAGTTTCAGTTTACTTGCAGAAGGAATGAACCACATATTTTCTAAAATCTAAATTAGTTTTTATGGTGTCATGCTTCAGAATTGAAACAGATGACTTTGCACTTGAACGTCTCCTTGTTGTACTCAGTTACTAATTTAGCTGAAGTTCTTCGCGTAAATTCAGTAGTACGCTGTAGAATTTCTTCCAAGAAATTGTATAAATACATTTTATTCAGATCACTTGGTTTGGTTGATTGTTCGAGCATATTATCACAAATTTTGGTTCGAATGCATTATTCTATGACTATTTTGATTCGGAAAGAAGCAGAGAGAAAAATAGTTGCTTTAGCATCTTCCAAGAATATTTTTTAGGAGTCAGAAAGTCAGAGGAAAAAGTGAGGGGTAAAATTTAATCTTCGATGTTCAAATTTCTGGTTTAAACTGCTTGTTGGTTTACTCTGACTTATCGCTTTTAATCGTATTTTTCTCGTCGTTTCTTGGGAAAATGATATACCACAAGTGATTTCTTGACGTTTCCCACCTACCATTTATGATTTAAATAGACAAATTTTCTTTTATTATAACGCACTTTAATAAGAGGACTTGCCCTAATAAGTTAAACTGTGCTGTACAAGTTTTGGCACTTTTTTTTTGCTGTTTTCCTACTAGCTTTTAGTTTTTATTAATGAAACTTTCATTGATATTCAACTGGAAATAATCTCGTTGAAAGCAGCGCATGACAGAGCAAGTAAATTTGATTCTAGAGTTTTTGTAGCTTTGATTTCGGACCGGAGGAACTAGAGATCTAACAGACGAAAAAAAATTGAAGGTTGAAGGGACGGAAGTTAAAGTCCGATGAGTTGAATGTAATCAAGAATGACAGTTTTTCAATAGAACGGTGGAAAACTTTGGAATGTCTAAGGATAAAAAAATTAAACCAGATGGCTCGAATTGCTCGAAGTGATATCTGGAAAGTAGAGGGTTTTAAAGAAGTTTTTACAACTTTGGAGACAAAAATTCTCAACTAACCATGAATTTTTCTCTTTCTTTTTCTTCGGTTTCTTCATGAAAATTTCTCTTCGAGAGCAATTATTGGAAATGAAATTTTATTTCACTTGTTTATGGATTTTCTCCCTGAATTTTTCTTTTTTTCTTTTTTTTTGATTTGTAGTCTTTCAAAAAGTTAGAATATCTATATTACATCTCTATATTATATATTACTATATTACTATATATTACTATATTACTATATTATATTATTATATTATATTATATTATATTACTATATTATATTATTATATATTACTATATTACTATATTATATTATATATATATTATATAATATCTATATTACATCTCTATATTTTCAATTTTTCTTTTTTTTTCCAGTTTATATCTACTGTCCTGTGTGCAGGACTTATATCGTTGCCATTTTGTACTGCATAGATATTATGCAATATTTTGCGGAAGATCAAATTTCAGTTTTTGCTAGATTCTGCCAGAAATCTGTATGGAAATAGTAGAGATTGTAGTATTCCCCTGAAAATTATTCTTTTGGCTTTCCCGAATTATCATTTTGGCACATTGAGCAGGGAGGCGGCGAAAGAAAGATTCTGTGCTACTGCAGCAGACATCTCTGGATCCCATAAATGTTGTTTTGTGTTGTTATGGCATTTTTGAACGTTGAATCCCATTTAGTATAACTGTCGTGTCGATATTAGATGAGAGGATTTCAGGATATCAGTCAGGCTTACCTGGATTGTCAGATCAGGCTACTGTTTTTTAATCGTTCCTTTTCATTTTTTTAAAAATATTCTAGTCGCGTTGAGGCAGGGGTTTATTTGTCTTTAGTCTATCTGTAGTTTCACTTTTTACATGGTAAGCTGCTTCGCACTGTGTCCTCTCGATTTGACCTAGTAATGATAAGTTGGTTAATGAAGATCATTCATTTTAAATGACTTACGAAGGTTAGTTATAAGAGAAGGAAAATTAAATTTGACTGGAGACACTACAAACATTTCCAAGAAATTTTCGCACCCTAGAGAACGTCCTTCTTTTTTACATACTATGAAAAAATGGAATAAAAAAGCCCATTCAGTGATGCAAATTTCTGTCTTATTTATTCGTTAAGGAAATTGTTATCGGGAAAAGCAAAAAAAGAGAAAGTAGAGTTCTTTTCTCCTTTCCTCTCTCTCCCGTATTCGTCATTTTCTATTGGAAGTGCAAAGGTGACGTCAATTTCAAGTTGTCGGACAGGGTAGAGCGGAGGAGAAGGTGAAATTTCGGCTAGTAATAATTATGAATATGTATGTGTATGTGATGACGACTGTGGAGACAAAACAATTTAAACAACATTTTCCTTCTATTCATTTATCCATCCATCTCTCTTAACCTTCTTTAAATCTTTTGAAGCCTCCTGACTTACCCGTTTGTTTGCCTATCGCTGTACTTATGTTTTTGGTATTCTTTCTTATCGATTCAGCTTTACTTTTTCCTTCCCGAATTTTGGGATGAGAAACTGAGGTACTGTAAGGGTGTTCGCTTTGTTCCACTAAATGTTCGTGTATGTTCGTGTCGTGTTTCATAAGGGATCTAGATCATTCCTAGGATATTTTTCTGCTGTTTTATTTTTCATTTTAGACTTCAGACTCATTGCTCTGTTTCATAGCTAAAGAAAGCTGTTAAAAGCCTAGCAACAATAATCCATTTGCGTATATTATGTCCCTTGCGGAGAGATGATGACCACTGCATAGCTAATGCTTACGTAAGCTTGTTGCTTACTTCATCCCATCGTGCAGTTTCAGGTCCGATCCGACTCTCTCACACATATCTTTCTAGAGTGACTTTCATTCTATTTAATTAATGGTTCAAATTTCCTCTCACTTTCCATCTACTTCTGCACCTTTTCTTTCTCTTTCTCTCCTATAATACAAAAACACACTGAGAGTAAATAAGGAAGGCCGAGAGAGACGTAGAGAAGGGTAGGGAGGAAGAACAAGACGAAAAGAGCGAGTGATGGTAATGCAGCCAGAGATGTTATTCGATCATTTCATACTCTTTTGATAAGGCCTTCTCATTTCTTTCGGATTTTTTATTTTTCGTACTTTGTACCGTATAAAAGAGCATATGCCAAGATACAAATACACACAGATAAGCACACATACACACACATACACACACATACATACACACACATACATATCTATCAACCTGCCCACAATTTCTTGTCACAAAGAATGGGCATATATGTTACGGATTTGATTTGACGTATGAGAGCTTTCAAAGTATTTCTTTTCTTTTTCGTTATCTTTCTTACCTTCCTGTTGCACTACTTTGAGTATTGAATGAACACTTCCTGTTGATAATGCCGTTTGGATTACGCGCAACATCGTTGAGACATCGTGCAACATCTACAGCATTGTTCTCAACCTTTGCTTGACCATGGACCACTTTGGCTTCTCACTTGTAGTAGGGACTACAAGATTCAAAAAACAATCAATTATCTTAATTTTAAAACCAACTTCAACCAAAACTTTCAACATACTAATTAAACTTCGAATAACATTATAATATAAAGAAGAAGGGATATAATTTTTATTAGCCCTCGTGGACTATGCTTTAATTTTTATGGACTACCGGTTGGAAACCACTAATGTAAAGGGACAATGTGAAGTACTAGGGTCTGTTTGTAGCAGTGACTTTCCAGACAATTTTATATACCAGAGATTGACGAGCTCGAAAGTGTTAGTATGTATATTTGTGTAAAGGAGATTTCAGTCGGAATAAATGAAGAGAGAAAGAAAGAGGATACTTCATGAAGGTGATTTCTTCAACACGGAATATCTGGCAAAACCACAGCAAAAGATAAACCGCCATTGACCAAGCAATAATTCGAACTTTTGTTGCTGTTGTACCAATGATTGCAAAGTGTAAGAAATATTTGAGATACGGCCTACACTGTGATGCATGCTCAGTAATAAAGTTTCGGTTTTGTTTTAGAGTTAACATCGAAGGATAAAGGCAAATCCCTCTACATTCCCTGTTCTGAACTAACTATAGATATCAATCATATCTAACTAGGATTTATTAGCTGAACATGTTATGCCTTAGTTATATTACTTTACTCTTTCTCTCCTCTTTCTATGTTCTTTCAACGCAAGACAGTTGCCTTTCGTAACAGATTAATTTAACGGTCTTAAATTCCATCATTTTATTCTATTTTTTATCAAACTTAGCTTTCGTTTAAAAATTTTTTAGAGACAAAAAGTCGCTTCGAAGAATCTTTGCCCCTGTACATTACATCACATTATCTTGTTTATAATCTTCTTTAGAAATTAGTGATTATTATGCTTCATCGCTAAATGAATTGTCAAAACTATTACGTGAAAGAAGCAAAATTTCGTAGAACTTAATATATAACGAAATAATCTGATGTTAAGCCTTGCTTCTCAATATTTCCAACTTTCCAACTCTTCTTTAACATTCCTTTCAATAAGTTAAGCAAATTAGAATGAGACTTTAAGTCGTGCAACATTTTTACGACGTTCATATTTTATACGGGATTATTCATTAAGGAGCTTAGATTCCATAACCGATTTATTGGCTCATAAACAATGTGTTTGGTTTCGTAATAAAAAGGTCTGATTCATTTTACGGAATAAATAGCCCAGCATGCACGATATGATCATTTATGCAACTGGCAATCGAGGTTGGCTTAATGCCTTGACCTGAAAATTTCGATGTTTTTCATCATGTCATCTTAACATTGCCTAGCGGTCTTCACAGTTTATAAAATGTTCGCAGTGCTGAAGGAATTAAGACAAAGAGAATGAGATTCTGAGTCCAAATGCATGAAAACGGTTTTCAGCACTCAAAAAAAAAGAAAAAAAATGAAAGATTCAGTTGACTAATTAATGGGAGGAAGGATTCGAATGAGTTTTTGCTAAAAAAATGGAAATTTATGGTAATATTTTATACTAAGAACAGATGGAACGTCCTACTTTTACTTTGAAACTTGGTGCGTTTATGTAATAGAGACAAGACTACTACTAAAGACAAATATTACCATTGTTGTTGCATTGTTCACTTTGGCTGTTCGTAAACCTAGATTTTCATTGAATATAAGAAAAAAAAACGAATTTAAACCGGACTATTCTTCGTTTGTTGTAGTGTATATTTATCAAAGGACTGCAGATTGAAAGTTCATGATGGTTGAGAAGATTAGACTATTTCCGTTTAGTCTGCTGATTAACTGCTATTACAAGATGTGTTCTTTTAACTAACAACCTGAAAAGCTGGGCGAGATGTTAGTCGAAGTGAAAAGTGTGACAATGTAACGAATTGCACGTATAAGAAGTAAAGATAGGAAGAAGTTGAAGGTATTAAAATCAACGAAGGAGCGTTTTCGTTGCTGCTTGTTTAAAACTCTCCTACATTAGTTGGCCCACAATTCTGTGACGCATTGAATGTATACCATGCATAATATATTAATTTGCCAGTTAATTAAATGCCGAGTCATTGAACTACCGATGAATGACCTTGGTATATAGCAAATTATTATCAACAGATCCATGCTGTTTCATCAAGAACTCATCCCACAACATGCACTTTTGTGCACCTTTTCATTCCCTCTATCAATGAGTTCACGAAGAGTGCATCTTTTTTTTGCAGATTTGCTCATTTTTGCGAATATTTTTGCCATTAACGAAAGTTGCATTTTTACTTGCGCGCATTTGTAAATTTTTGTGCACATCTCTGCTTTTTTTTGCAACGTAATTAAAAAATAATTTCAAGTGAAATCATTTTTACGGAAAAATCGATTTCAGTTTTGGGTTTTTCGGGAGAATTAAGAATTGTTCACCGGATTCGTTGCTTTCTCATAAAAACATGTTTAGTTCCTGTTGCAGTTGGTGACTAGGTGGAATTAACGTATTTCTTTTGATTCTTTCCCCTGCTGTATTGATACAGTTTCTTGAATTTTGCACTCAATATATCCACGTGATATCTGCCAACGGGGCCCATTTCCTTTTGCAGTTGTTTTCCTTTTTCTTTCCTTTTTTCTTTAAATCTTTGGTTAATAAAATCTAAAATTATTCATTCACTTAATTTGATATTAGTATTCATTTCCTTTTGTAATATGATGTAATATTACATTTCAAGAAATTGCCAGGAATTATTCTTTAATTCAAAAGAATTTGAATATCCATTCCTTTTTTCACTGGATTACTTAAATATTATCGGCGAATTGATGTTGAAAGCATAGGATATTTTTTCAAAATTATGGATTCCAACGTTTCCAGAATTTTCTCTCAAAAGCATTGTTTAACGCACTAATTGCTTATCCTCCGTTTAGATAAGTTGGCAATGAGTGGCAATTGTCTTGACCCCATCTTATTGCCCTAGATGTAGTGGTTAGAAATTTGATTTCGAATAGAAAGAAGTTTAACTGTCAACATGAGCAGTGCGGGAAGTAGACATAAGTTGGTGATACAGATATATTAATTTTAGCTTGGGTAGACATAATTTATTATGCCATCGATTAACGACTCTCTTTAAAAGGGAAGCTGGTCTTGTGTTTAAAATTTTTTCCAAGCTTGTATAGCATGGTTTTTCTTTGCAGAATGATTCTAAAAGACTTGGAGACAGTGGATAAGCAACTCAAAAAGGAGCCGGATGAACAAAGTGTTGCTTCGGTTGTCATTCAACCATCTGCAGAACCAGGTTTGTAGGCTTATTTTTTTTTGATATTTTGCATATAATATTTATTGAGACGTCTACAGTTCATTTACATTTAGTTAATTTGAAAGGGTTAGATTTGTTCTATTGCTTCTAACTAAGGGTTACTCAGAGTTTTGGTTTGTCAGTGATACTCAAAACTTAATACTGATTAACATTACTGTTTTAATACTGATTTAACATTACCCGCGAGACTTATGGATATCTAAAGTTTCCAAAAAGCAAAAACAAAGAAGGAAAATGATGTGGTATTAATATAACAAATAAGGATTTCCCCGTCACATTATTTCCTAAATGTTGATCCTTACTAGCATTTCAATCAGGAGTTTTCTTTATTTTGATTTTCCTCCTTCGAATGACTGTTCAGAATGTGCCCTGGCCAAAGTTGTTGCTGTCTTTTAACATAAATAGGTTAGATTAATTATTTGCTTTGCGATCACATAATATGATGTATAAGTAACGAAAATACACTGATAAATGATTACAGTGGAGACAGTTCGATCACAGATGTCATTAAGACAAGATACCAGTGCTCAGTTATCGGAGCAGCAAGCAATTTCTTCTCGACTTGAACAAGTTCAGTACATTGCACCCTCTGGTATGTTTTTTAAACGAAATTTTGTGTTTTTTTAAATTAATTTTCATTGAATATCATCGAATGTTTTGTAACATTGTAACTTCCCTTACGCGATGTCTAGTCTGGAATCCAGTTCCAACACATTTTCATTATTTTAGGATAGCTAGGTTGCTCTCATTCAATGTTTGATATACCAATTCTCATGTGCTTCAAGTACGCTGAGAAAATATCGACTGTGATGGGTGAAAGTGGTTGAAGAACAGTGTGGTAGTATTACGGGCATTTTTCAGTACTATAATTCCAGATCGCCTCTGTGGTGTATATACTCATGATTATCCAAACGATTAATGTGTTGAATGAAGAGATTTCGCATGATGACGGTCGATATACTTCGAAAGCTCGACTTGCACTTTTTAACTTGGAAGTTTGATAATATAGAAGTTTAGTAAAAAAATTTTGCAGGGTTGACTCGTTTGCATACAACAAACGGCAATCTAACATTGAATTCAGCAACATTAACAAGCATGCACAATGTTGGAGCAGCAGGTATGATTGGGCAGTATTCACCAGTTGCTACAGTCGCAGCAGCCGCTGCAGCTGCAGCCGCTGCAGCGTCACGAGCAAGTACGAGCACACCAAAAAATGTACAGGTAATAGTTGCCTATTTGCGGTTGCTTTTCTATAAATTTAGTAATTTGCTTTCATAGAATTGCTAGTCCCTACATTTAATCATAAACATGGAGAAGATACGGAACAGGATGGATGGGTAGGTAGAGACAAATAACAGGAGGGTAAGGTAGAGGAAGAAATATAACGTATTTGCTGAAGCTAAATCGGGCTATAAAATTGTGGGCATAGTTTCACTGGTATCCATGATTAGTCATTGCAGGAATTAGGCCAAACGGCAGGGTCATCATCGGGACCAGTTCCAGGAATGCTGCCAGTAAATGCCGAAGTTTTGGGTCTCAAAACGATGAGTGCTAGTGCTGATGGTCAGCAGCAACAATATATTCCGCCAAATCAAGGAACTAGTCAAGGCAGCGGTTCCCATTTTGTTATTACTCGACAGTGTTAGCTCTTAAAGGCTTTCAAATCAAGCCTTCTGGGTATAGTTAGCTAATCATGTGTTTGGAAACTGCTGCATTAAACTATTATCCGTAATTCTGATACAGTTGGATGGTTTACGCGTTTGAGTTTCGCATTAAAACTTGATTTAAGCTTTCCTGATTTCTCAGGAGAACAAACACCTAAGCTTCATTTGAAGTAGTTGGGGTATGTTCTTCGAATCTAACCTTAATGAGATAGAATAAAACTAAGAACGGAACGTACGAAGAACAAATAGCCTGTTGAAAGAGGAAGTGAAGTCAATTTGATATGCACTAGTTTGTGTTTTTAGACTCACAATCAAACAAATAAACAGTATTTCGTACATATATAAAATACATGTGTACAAGAAATTGCTAGTCGTTTAGGCTTTCGGTGCGCTTATTCTTCAAAAATTCAGACGTCTTTGAAGCTTTAAAGTGAAAACAAAGCTTAAACTGGAGTACCTGAAATTGTAGATTGGCAATCCACTGTGATGTCTGGTTACACATCATCCCCATCACCGCTTGGTATGGCTGGTGGTAGTCGAACAGCCACCGAAAGTGATGATAGCACACGGAAAAGACAAGTACGACTTTTGAAAAACAGGTAAACAGCTTCTAAATTTCAAGGGAGAATGAAGATTGGTTAGAAATCAATGCTAAGATTTTATGACTAAGAATTTGTATTTTTTAGAAAATCTTATGAAATTTTCCTTACGCTTAGTTCTCACGTTATAGAATGCATATGTAGAACGTAAAAATTCATCCAATATGCGCGTTTTAGTAGTTGTATCATTAAATACCAAATTCGGTTATAGGTAGGATTCCAGTGGCGATTCGTTTTACCGTTTGTTATATTATCCCTTGTAATCCAACTCTTGATTTGGTATCGGATAACAATCAGTAGTCAATGTTATTTGGATTATTTATAGATTCTTGGGCATCTCGTATCGTTTTAGGATTTGCGAAATTGTTAACATTTATTCCTTCGCGCTGGACTGATTAACCGTTTTGGCTTGGAAGAAATGCGTCGTAATATTTGCATGAATTTACAAATCTTTAAAGAACTTACATATTATTATCAAAACTGCATTTTTCTTTTCGTTCTAGAGAAGCAGCGAAAGAATGCAGGCGAAAGAAAAAGGAATACGTGAAATGTTTAGAAAATCGTGTCGCTGTTTTGGAAAATCAGAATAAAGCATTGATTGAAGAATTGAAGACGTTGAAGGAATTGTACTGCAGGAAAGAGAAAAGCGAGTTATAAGAGAATACGAAGGGAAAGTTTCATCAGTTCTATTCCTTGAATTCAGTCTTTTTTGCTCCAGGGAATTTTTTTACATCGTTTGTAGGCGCGTCATATTTATTCATAAAAGTTGTTTTGATATGAGAGATATCACAGCTTTCATAAGTGTTCACAGTGATTCCTTTAACACACATCTGAAGTGAACGATTGCGGGAAAAATTTATTTATAAATTTTTGTATATGTTTGAGATCTAATAGAATCCACAAGGTATAGAGGTAGATTAATCATATCTTGAAATTTCATTAAAAAAAGGTATCCTATGCATGGAAGTGAAGTATTTTTAGTATTGCTTCTTATAATGTATATAATTCAAAAGAAATGCGTGAAATTATTAAGTTTTCACCATGCTTCTCATTGAGTTCATAAACAAATAGACGCAAGGGAAAAATAAATAGCTGAGTGAATGAATAAATGATACCGTACTGCTTCTAGTGATTTTGGAATTCCTATCTTGAATTAGTTTAAATTGACAGTGACGTTTTGATTAGTGGTCATCTGTGGACATTGGTGTTTAGTAGGAAAAGACCATCTCTCTAGCATAATAACAAAGAACACGAAATTAGTGCTAATTTAATATTAGAAAAATCTTAATATAATATTGAAATGTCAAATAATATCTTTTTAATATGGCTGGGGTCTTCTTTAAGCATGATTATTTTATGATTTTATTTTACTTTATTTTTATTTTTTTTTTTGATTTTTCGTTTTTTTCCCAGTTTTTGATGGGATAAATTTACATGCGTGCGTTGTTTTCCCGGTCATTTGTTATTTGCTTATGATTGTCCCATAATTCTCCTTTCTGATGTACAATATACTTCACTGTATTTAAGGATCGAATTTTTCAAATATTATTTAATTGAACGGCAAGAGTGATAATACCCAATTCACCTACTGTAAATATTTTTGGGTAATATTGGATTATGCGATTTTCGATCATATCCTTTCCTAATTCAATAAATTTTAGTGTAAGAAGCTGTAATATTGCACATCATCCCTCACATTTTTGAATATGGTATAATTATTCGAACGGTAATATTCCATCACTCTATGAATTTCTATGGTAGTATATTTCGGATTGAAGACAATGTTCTTTTTTTAATTCAACTGTCCAAATTATTTTTTGATAACTGCTGAAATCATGGTTTT